GCTTTTGTTCTTATTTTCATGTTTTTCACTTGGCTGCTCCCTCCTTCCCGACAGCGGCACACCGAAACGGACCTCGCCACGAGAGAGGGAGGGTTTGTCCCGGCTCCCGCTCTGGCGGCCCGTTGATGGCGGAAAAAAAACTCCTGTGCCAGGAATGCAGCGACACAAGGCGCCCGCTCAGCCCTTTGCTTTGCTCCAGGTTAGCTCCCAACACACGGGAAGAAAATAGAAACAACAACAACAACAAAAGAAAGCTAATTGCTCCTGATCCTATTCAGGAATCTTAAAAATAAATAGCTACCCCGAGCCAAAGAGCGCAAGGCGTTCATTTAGCAGCAATGGGGCTAAACATTTGTTGAACTGGGAAAGGCACAAATGCGAAAGTGTCATTCATGGCTCCGGCTGCCGCTGGCCCCCCCCAGCCACTTTCACCCAGGGCCCTTCGGAGCCGAGGACACCGCCGGGTCCCCTCGCAGGCGGACTCATTAGATTAGACGAGATTGCTGCAGTTCACCTTCGGGGCTGGCACACTTACTTAGCCAAATCGCTCGCATGCATTACGGGAAGGCCGGGACCGCTGCTTTAGAGGGTCACTTGTCATTTCTATTACATGTGATTAAAGGCTTTAGACGTGAAAAGACTTAATTTGCACCCGTTTGGTTTTCGGTTTTAGCGCGGTCTGTACGCGACGTACTGTAACCATCAAACTTTGGTTTACCTTGGGGAACACTTGTGTGTGGCGGGTCAGTGTCAACTGTTTTTCTTTTGTGATGGATTCCATTAAAAATAGCAATACTTTATTCTTTTCCTTGCGGTGGAACTGATATAGAGGGACGCCAACACGCACTCACCGTATGGGGAAACTATAGGTAGTCCCAGAAGGCATATACATATACATACACATACATATTATTGATGTTTTTTTCCCCCGGAGAAAATGTCAGCGGAGAAAACGCCAGCGGAGAAAACGCCGAAGTATTACAACCGAAAACAGCCCGGCAAAGCCC